TTTGTAACTCTGTATTGTCTGTATTGTGCTTGTGATATGTTGTAAAATGTTGTATGTCTGTTAATGTTTCCCTCCTTTTATCCTTAAAAAAAAAAAAAAAATCAAATAATACCCACAACATCATGATCATACTTAATCAACTTTCCAAGGCACGAAGTCACTATTCTGAAATTTTCTAAAGTATCTGTCATAGTGCTCTTATTATTTATATTTTAGAGTTGCCAAGCACATAGTATGGCATAATCTTTTCTTTTTCTTTCTTTCCATAAAAATTTTCAGCTTATAAATGAAGAACTCATGGTGGAATTAGAAAAATCACAATTTTAAAACTTGTAGTGAAATAATGGATTTGGGAAATATTTACTAACAGCAGCTGAAAGCCAGAGGTAAAAGGTTGATGGAAACTTTATTAACTAATGAGTCATGGTGAGACTATCTGTATCTGGTAACTCATCTAACCACTGCTATGAGTGAGATATCTGCTGTCCTGTGTCTCTTGACAGGAAGCAGTTAGGGAGTGCACAGTGCCCCTCTGAAGTGCTCTTGCTGAATCTAACTGAGCCTTTACATAGACCTCACTGTTTACAGGATGTAAGGGAATAAAGAAATATATTAAATGGCACTGGAAGGAAACAATTTGCCAAATCAGTATTGAGAAACTCTTGACAAATAACTTTGTTCTGTTTCTGTTATTGTTGTTGCTTTTATGTAACAGCAAATATAAAATGGGGGTGAGAGGATTCTTACAGAATAAAAGCGACATTAGCACCTAAACAATTCGTGTGTGGACACTCTTTGTATCATCATTTGAATCAATCAAGTGTGAAAGAGACAACTTTGAAGCTGCTGAGAAAATTGTCACAAGGGTTGGATGTTAAATGTTAAAGGATTATTATCATTTGCCAGATGTTTTAGTGGTGTGTTAGTAATGTTTTTTAAAGTCCTTATGAACTAAGTATCCATGCTGAATTTGTATAAGAGAAATGACTGTGTCTCAGAGTTGCTTTAAAATAATACAAAAAAACCTGCCTCCTTAGTGCAGTAGGCAGTGTGTCAGTCTCATAAAATAATACAAAAAAAATTAGATATGAAAACTCAATGATCAAATACTGAAAATTGTTGAAGCTGGTTATATTAGACTGCTCTACATTTTTTATATGCTTTACATTTTCCAATTTATTTTGTGAAAACCACTAAATTCAAAACCTTAATACATGAAACACAAAAGCCAGGTGAAGAATCCTTAAGAAGCAATGTCAGTCTCATAGAGTAAACAGAATACATAATCAGTACCGAGAACCTGGGACTCCAATACCGGATGAGAGTGCTGTTTTTTCCAAAGTGGACATTGAGCAGCTGCTGACTGGACTTTTAATTATTAAAAGGCTCCTTTTCCAGAAATTGCCAGTTGTGATTCAAAAGAAGCCAGATAACACAAGGTTCCTGGAGCACACAATTCAAACTAGACTGAAGGATCAAATAGTCAACTGAACAACAAAGTACTATAGTCTCCTGGGCAAAAGGATAAACATTTCCTTAGGGAAAAAATGACTGGTTCAATTCAGGAACAGCCTGTTAAGTTCCAAACATTTGATGGACATTTGAAAAGCATAATAAAACAATAAAAATGCTTAAATATGTAGTAAATAATCTAGAGTACAAAAATCACTGATTCAGGGCTTAGGTGTCCCTAAATGGTCAGTAGGTCATCTTCAGAGAGTTGTAGGGTAAAAGGGCTCCTAATTTATTTCAGCCGGGCAGCTGAACCAGGAGAATCCAGTACAGTGAATGAAGAGACTGTGAGGGAGGTCACACCTTTCGGAAGACACACCATGATGGATGTAGCCCTTTGTGACTGCAGCAAATGTCAAATAGGCATAGCCCTTGAGTGGGGACTGAGAAAGGAGGTGACTAAATGTGAGGCCAGGTGAAGGAGAAAAGGGAATAAGAGAGGAGAGAGCAGGTGAAGGAGGAGAAGAGAAGAGAAGAGAAAAGAAGAGAAGCGAAGCGAAGAGAAGAGAAGAGAAGAGAAGAGAAGAGAAGAGAAGAGAGGAGAGGAGAGGAGGGGAGGGGAGGGGAGGGGAAGGGAAGGGAAGGGAAGGGAAGGGAAGGGAAGGGAAGAGAAGAGAAGAGAAGAGAAGAGAAGAGAAGAGAAGAGAAGAGAAGAGAAGAGAAGAGAAGAGGGTAAATAAGGAGGGGAGACAAGGAAGCAAAGAAGGAGGAAAGGGGGAAAAGAAAGAAGGAGGGACTGAGGGAGAGAATAAAACTACTAGAACATTTAGAAAGCCATAGCATTCCTTTGAGAATAATATTGAATGCAGCCATTCAACAGACCAATCTTAGAAGTACTTTTGGAAAGTAAATCCTACTTCCTGGCAGGGTGAGAGACTATTCTGCCATGACAGCGCTGGCAGATTCCAAGGAGCCTTCCAGACCACTGGATGAGTTGTAAGAGTTATGTTCCTCAGAAGATTGAAGTCAAAGGTGAAAGAAAGTTAAAAATTAAACCTTTGGCTTTGACATGTTGAGGTCAAAGTATTTGGTATGGGACATAACCAGAAAATGCTAGCAAATTCAGAAAATTCAGCATTATATAAAGTTGAGTGAAAATTTCTTCAATAGAGAAGGAATCCCTCTTCTGTACTGAATCAGGTTAGTGTTCTTCCTCTTATATGATGCCCTCTAAGTGATGTCAATTACTAATTAAATTTTCCAGACAGTGTTACGGGTCCTTCCCTGACAGAGATCTTCTTTAAAGTATTTAGTAATATGGAGAAATTTTGGAGAAAAATAATATGCTTGTCTTCTGAAGCTTTTCACAGGAAAGAAAAGGAACACATTTCAGGAAGGAGTGTGAATTGAACAGTTGTGAAGAAGGACATGAGAAAAAATGTGTGTTATATGATGCTGGCATTACATATGAGTGATGTGGAGTGTCTGTGGTATAGCATAACCATGCATGTGTCTGTGATGTATGTGACACACTGTGTATGGTGTGCATGTGAGTATTGTCTGTGTGGTTACATGATTCACACACACATTATTGCATAGGTATTATTGTGATGTTTGTATGTTTGGTTTGAGTGTGTGTATGTGTCAAACACACGCTATGTGTTTATACCATGTGGTGTGTATATATGTGTGATTTTCATTTTTGTGGTATGTATGGTATGTGGTATGCATGTGTGTGTGTGTGTGTGTGTGTGTGTGTGTGTATTGAAATAAGCAGCGGTCCCAAAAGAGGTTCCAATGTGTGATAATGGTGGTTGATAGATGATTCATTCAAAAATACTTTGCATTTTTTATTGGTTGATTTCTTGATGATAGCCATTCTTTCTGGGGTGAGATAAAATCTCAGTGTTGTTTTAATTTGCATTTTTCAATTGACCAATGATGTTGAACATTTTTTCATATATTTATTTGCCATTTGTATTTCTTCATCTGAGAAGTGTGTATTCATCTCAGATGCCCATTTTGGATTGGGCCATTGAATTTGGGGGCCTGAGTTTTTTAATCCTTTAGATGTTCTAGATAGATAGAAGTCCTTTGTCTGAAAACTCAGTGATCAAATACTTTGTCTGAGGGACAGTTGACTGAAATTTTTTCCCAATTTATGAGTTTTCTTTTTATTCTGTTGGTGATTTCTTTTGATGTGCAAAAGCTTTTCAATAAGATGAGATCCAAGTCAATGATTCTTTGAAGTATTTCCCATGCAGTTTGGTTTTTGTTCATGAACTCTCTGCCTACCTCTATGTCTTCAATATTTCTACCTACTTACTCTTCTAGTAAATTTAGTGTTTCTGTTTTAATATTTACATCTTTGATCCATGTTGACTTTAGTTTAGTGCATGGTTATAGATATGAGTCTAGTTTTAGTCTCCATCATGTGGAAAGCCAATTTTTCCAGCACCATTTATTAAAGAGGCTATCTTTCTTCCAGTGAACATGTTGGGCCCCTTTTGCAAAGAGGCTAAGGTGGATGAGCATGTTTTTAGTTGTGTCTGCATCTTCTAATCTATTCCACTAATACTCAGGTCTGTTTTTAAAGGGAAGGTTAGCCTTCACCACTGCTGGTGGGGGACAGGTGAAACCACTGTAGAAATCAGTGTGGAGATGCTTCACAAAATTAGGATTAGAGGTCCCACTTAACCCAGCTATTCCCTTTCTGGGTATTTTTCCAGAAAAAAACTGAAAATATCATACCACAGCAATAAATGTGCCCCCATGTTTATAGCAGCACAATTTGTCATAGCTAAATCTTGGAAGCAACCCAAATGCCCATCATCAGAGAAATGGATTTAAAAGATGTGGTATTTTTATACACTGGAGTATTACTCAGCTATTAAAAAGATAAACTTGAGACTTTTATTGATAAATGGATGCAACTAGTGACCATATTCATAAGTCAAATAAATTAGACCTGTATGTACAAACGTCATTTTGTCTCCCTAGTGTAAGAACAAGAAGGAGTAAATAAAACCCAAAATGTACAATAGATCTTGTGAAAGGGAAATAAATTGCTCAAAGGGAAGGGACAACGGAGATGAAGGAAAGTACAAAAGAAAGAAATAAGGAAGGGAATATATACAATGATAGTTGTGATAATTGTACTGCTGACATCTAATGGTTTATTAAAAGGAATAGTTAATGTTTAAATTTTTTTCTTGAGCAATTTTACATGCTCCTATGTGGTAATCTGAACAACTAATTTGAAGACAACAATATGTAACATAACAACCATTATTGAATTCCTATCATCTTGTTTAGTAAAGCTCTATATTGTTTCTACTTGTTATTACTTTTCATCCTCTTTAATGGTTTGATCAATCTTGCATTCTTACATTTGATAATCTGAGCAACTTCACTGAAAATAACAATATGTAATATAACAACCATTGTTAATCTTTGTTATTTTGTTTTGAAATCCTGTATCATTTTTATTGTTTTCATATTGTTTTGGTTTTGTCCTTGTTGTTGATATTTTTAAAAAGTACTTCACAAACCCAGTTGCAAGACTTGGGTGTCTTTCACGTACCTGGTGTCACATAAACTGAGGAGGCCAGATCTTGGGGTCTAGGCTGATCAATCTATGTGGCACTGGAAACTGATTGTAAGGGGCTGTCTCCATTCTGATTCCTTCTCCTTGATGATCTTCCTACTAGTAGGAACCCAATATTCAGACTTGAGGGTACCAGCTGTTTCTTTTAGAGAACTGAGACTCCACATGGGGTCTTTCAGGGCTATGGAGAATTATTTACCTATCTTCAAGAGGGGAAAGGTAATCTCACAGCTTAGTAAGAGACAGGCAGAGAGAATTTGTTTTACCTTTACTTATTCCTTTTCCAACATTCTTTGTTTCTCCTTGAACATACAAATTTCTCATCAACAGCAATCTCCACCCACCTGAAGAGAGGGTAAAGTCTGCTGGCAATACGTTCCCTGTTTGTGTAAGAAAGTCTTCAGTTTTCTTTCCTTACTGAGGGGTATTTTTACTGGACATAGAATTTTGTGTAGGCATTTGTTTGCTGTCTATAGGTTTCAAGTTTTCTGTATATTTTTAATTAACAAAAAAGCTCATTAAAAAAGAAGCCCATAATGAAGAAGATGCTGGAACAGAGTGCCTTTCAGAGCAGAACTACAGGGGCACTGGTCTGTTTCTTCCCTGAGTTGTGTTGATTTCCATGTGTTTTTTATCCACAGTGAATGGAGAACAAGCTCTTCGGTAGAAGAGAAGCAGCATCCAAAAATGGAGAACCAGCTCCCTCCTAAGAAAGGTAACATTCTATTCTTCCTATTACTTACAGATTTTCTCCTTCTTAAATATAACTCCACAGATCCTACGAAGAAAATTCTTTAGTGGAAACCCACTGAGAGTCTGAGAAATGTTTCAGGAAAGTGGTGAAAGAAAATTTCTGAAAATCTTTAAATAAAAAATTCCATACACCCTTACTGTTGACAATTTAAGCTACTATTTCTGCTCTTGTACACTTGCTATCTTATTGCTTGGTGCAGAATATCAGGAAAGGGTACATTGATTTTGTTCCATCCTCAAGGAGAAGCAACTAAATCTGTGAAAGGAAGTAAGGCAAGATGGATGTTTTTGAACCTGCATCTTTGGTTATCAGTAATTGGATGTTTAGTCAATATATTCTGAGAGAACCTAAACAGGGTGGGATCAGGACAGTAGAGATTTACTACTATTTTACTAAGACTTTTGTCTATATTATGCTAGACAAAATCACAGAAGGGGAGGAGATAGACAGTGAATTATACAATTCCTTTGTTAATATAAAGGCTAGCAGTCTATTCAATTTTATATTTATTGTTGCACCATTTTACATTTTTAATTTCTCTTTCATATGTTCAAGTTTATATGTCTTTTATTTCTATGTACATCACTAACACCTGTCTTATGCTTAGCATTTTCTTCCTTTTAGATCTTTGCTTTTGTTTATTTGTTCCAAGATTTCAAGGGTTTGAGTTCCCAATCCTCTGATAAATGTGTTTAGAGTTATACATTGTGGTTAGGACTTCATGAGTTTGACGTGCAGTATTCTTACTATTACTTAGTCCTAAGCAACTTAGAGTCCCCTTGTAGTCTCCTTTTTGACTCAAGATTTATTTAGACATTAATTGTTTTCCTGAAGAAACAAAGAGGAGAAATGAGCAAAACTTGAAAGGGCAACCCTGGAGGAGGATGGACCCTTCTCTGCCATGTCCTGCACAGCTCTCGAAGTTCACAGGGTGAAGACAGTGAGAGGATAGAGACAAAAAGGACAAGATTCAGAATACCGAAAACTGAGGCCAGATGAAGCCCCCACTCTGCTGATGGAGAAGAAGTAAGGAAGGAAGAAAGAAGAGGAGGAGAAGGGGAAGGGGAAGGAGAAGAAGGAGGAGAAAAAGAAGGAGAAGGAAGAGAAGGAGTGAGAAGGAGGAAGAAGGAGGGAGGGAGGGGCCCACCAGTGGCTGTTTCCCATGAGGCTATGGAAATTACTGGGGCTTCTCATCAATGAACAAGGACAGGATAATTGTCCAGGCAGCTGCTTCCTTATTCATCAACTGGAGTGAGTCATGTCCAATAGTTGCTCCATACCCTAAGGGATTTTTGTTTAATTAGCTTAATAACTTTTGATGATTTATGAAAACCCAATCACAACATTGAACACACTATTTTGAACAATGAGAGACTCTCAAATCATAATATATAAACAACGATATACATTACACTTACACAACAAATTTTAGCATTATTTTGACTAGCTGGCAACCCAAGTGGAAGCATATCAGACAAATGCTTCAAAAATCCAAAAATGCAAAAAAAAGGAAAGAAAAGAAGAAAAAGAAAAAAATTATTGAGCTCAAACAAAAACAGCTGAGAAACAGACAAACAGCTACATGGAAAATCAGTTTACAATATCATAGTGCACTCAAATATATTTGTTGGCCAAATTAAATTCTAATAACTCTTTTATAATTTTGGAAGTTTGTCATTATTAATATACTAGTCAGAATTTTTTGTAGGTCAATTGGCAGATGTCTCATAAGAAAATTTGGAAGGAACAAAATCTTTTATCTATAATCAGTATATAATTTTGAATTTTATTTTGTCTTCAGTATATTGGCAATTTTCATGTCTCTTTCTTTCACATAGCCTCCACCTCAGTTGTCTCCATACACTCTGTCACCTACTCAGAACTTCTTTACCCAAATTTTGGTTACCATCTCCTGGGCATCCTGAGTCAATTTCTTTAATTTACCCCAGCCAGGTCTAGCCCCATCTTTGTCTATCAGCCATAGAGCAGTTTCTGAGGTATTACTGCCACAAGACTAAGCATTAGCTTCTTGAGAGATGGAACTTATGCCTTCTCCAGGTCTGGGTCAATGAAGCAGCTGGACAGCATGGTGTCACATCCAGATAGTCTTTTCAGTGTTTTCTGGAAAAACAAAAGCACACTCTTTACCAAAAGTGAGTAGTGGGCTGGATCTCTTCCAATTTCCAGTAGGAAGATCTTTCCAAAGGACCCTTTCCAGCCCCTTTTGCTTTACCTGATTTATTGTCTCTCTGCTGCAGTAGTCCTATCCATAGTAGTATTTAAAAATTAATAGTATACAGTGCCAAGTGAAGTCTATTATGAGGTGTGAATTTTGTAGGGAAGGATTTCCTCTTTTGTTTTTGTGTTTGAATTTTGAGTATATGGTGAGCACATTCATTGAGGATTATAAAGAGTACCTATGGTAAGGGAAATGTGAAAAGGTTTACAAAACATTTGGAGAAAGCATTCATATAAGCTGTGCCTTAAGTGCCTTAAGTGTCTGAAGTGCCCATGGGCAGCTAAGGGTACTAAAAGCATCCAGGCAATGAGCAATGTCATGTTTAGCCACTTCAACAGTGTGGGCAGAAGCAAAAATAAATCCTGAGGAAGTATCCACTGAAATATGCACCCAGGGTAAAGAGCCAAGTCAGGAATGTGAGTAATATCCATTTGCCAGAGATGATTGGGGTGTAACCTTCAGGAATTAACTCCCATAGTGAGTGAGAGAAGATGTTATGCATGAAGAACATTGTTTAACAATTTGCCAAGCTTGTTCCTGAGTTAAAAGGAATTGTTTGGGCAAGGCAGAAGCATTTTGATAGAAGGTGGCATGGGAGGCAGAAACCTGTTAAATGGCATCTGAGGGAGTAACAATGACAGTGGACAGCAATCTATCTATTGCAGTGTTTCCCTCAGTGAGACACCCCAGCAACTGGGAATAAGAACAAAAATGATCAATCAAACAGGAAATGTGCCATGACCAAATGACAAATTGGAGAGTGTGAAATAAATGGAAAAGATCTTTTTGGCCAATGTGTATAGTGGTAGTTTTAATGTGGTGCATCACACCACAAACAAAAGTACTGAAAAGAGGTTAATGGGAGTGGATCTTCCATTTGAGTGCCCAGGGCTCCCACTTTCTGCTCCTGCCTCTGGCTGAGGCTCTCATTCCACCACACTAGAGCTGTAGGTGAGCTCCCCTGGCTGTAGAGGCAGCTCATTAGCCTGAGGGGAGGACTGCTGTCACTTGGCTTCACCATCCAACACTGACACTTCCACTTCAGTGGTAGTGACTGGGAGGGGGTGAGCGCCCACCTCAGTGCCACGGATGGGCTCCATCTTTAGGGACATCTTTGCCAGTGCCACCCTCCCTGGGAGACTTTGCCATTACCACCCCTGTAGCCATGGCTGCAGTTAGTTCCCTGGCTGTTCTCCAGTTTGGGCTGTTGTGGCTCCCGTGGCTCCAAGCCAAGCGTGGGGTGAAAGGGGCCATAGGTGTAGCTGGCAGGCAGGCATAGGTGGCTGGGGCATCCTAGCTGAGATCACCTAGGGCTTGAGCTCGGGGTCCTCTCTCAGATAGGCCCATGCTCCTCCCTCCTGTGGTGCTGTGCTGCAGTGAGCTGGCTACATGGACAGCCTGATCCATGCACACATAAAAATATTTCCCTTCCACAATAAATAATTCCCCAGACTTAAACATGCTTTAGCTATTTCTTTTTTGTCGCTTGCAGTTCCTTCCTCTTCTGATTGAGTAAAGCTAGGGGGTTTAAACTCTGGAGAGGCTGTTGTTCCACCATTTTGTTTCTGCTCCAGGCTTAATTTTAAAATAGTGCTCTGAGCCAAATCCTCTGTGGTCATCTAAATAATTGCATGACCATCAAGACACTCCCTGAACCAGGTTTACAAAAAAAGTAAGTACAAGAATCAATAATAGAATGAGGGTTTGTGTATACATCTGCTGTTCTTCAGAATCTGCTTGCCTCATGTTCAACACCTGGTAAAATCAATATACCTCTCTCCCTTTTGTTTCTTGTGAGCCTGTTTTGCTCTTTTGCCTCTAATGAACTGTTTTTCTCTTTGGCCCTAGTGAGCCCATTTTTCTCTTTGGCTTCTCTGGAGCCTATTTTTCTCTTTGGTTTTTCTGGAGTCTATTTTTTCTGTGTGCACACAGCTAGAGATCTCCTTTTATCTGCTATCTGATGCATTTCCCTGTCCCCTGGGTCCCTGATCAGGTGCCTATTCTGGTGAACAATGGATGTTTGACATAGAACTCTAAGATGTCCCTAAGATTTCTGGCCCTTGATGTATTCTTGGGTAGATCCATGAGCACAGAAGGTGCTGCCAAAAGCCACAGGACTGACCTCCAAACAAAAATCAAACATTTTGTGCCACAAGTTAGAGGCGGTAAATTCTAATGTTGTATAGCAAGGTAGGGTAACTATAGTTCACAATAATGTAACACATATTTGATGAATAACTGGAAGACAGGAGCTCAAAGGCTGTAAACACAAAGTAATGATAAGGAGATGAAAATGATCACTGTGCATTGTACACATGTGTGGAAATATCACACAGTAGCTCATAAATATGAATAGTTACTATAAGTTAAACAATTTCTAAAGATGTTTGTGTAAATGAAAGTGCCCACCACCATATACACACCACATGTATATACTGGTCAGAGCTCTCCAAAGGATCTGAACCAATAGAACATGTACGAGCATCAAAAGGGACTGATTAGACTGGCTTATCTGATCAAGGTTGAGTAGTCCCCCCATGGTTTATTGCAACCCCGGGAGCTGGGGAAGCTGGAAGCTGTACTGTCTAAGAAGCTGGAAGCCTCTAAACAAGAAGAGCACATGACACAGCCCCCAGTCTGAGGCTGAAGGCCTGGAAGGCTCCTGCAGAGTTGTAGCTGCAAGGCTGCATTTAAAGGGTAAAGAATGTGGAGCGTGATGTGCACTTGTAGCAGCAACAGCGAAAGCTCTTCCTGTTCAAGTAGGGTCAAAGTATGTAGTCATGAGCTTCCCTCATCTCTCACCTGTCATACCATCTGGTCCCCAGCCTACTGGATCTTCCCAGACTCACCCAGAAGCACGCTTTATCAATTTTTCTAGGCACCAATCTATCCAGTCAAGCTGACAACCAAGATCATTCTTCACAATAACATGTGTTGAATTATATTGTACTCCATAAATATGTACAATTAAAATAATGATATTTAGCTGAGCATCAACATTTTTAGGAATCAGTGACCCCTTTTCCCCTTCCTTTTCCTCCTCTTGGAATTGTAATGTTTGTAGCTTTCTCTCATTCCTGCTTCCATAGTTATATGGTGAAAGTGTTAGGGTTGTATAACTAGTCACTTCAGTTTCACAAGTCCATACATAAAATGGTGTCACATGTTGCTTTACTCCTAACAGGCTTATCTAGACTTGATTTAGAGGAAGAGATTTTTAGATATTGCACTGAGCTTTTGGTGAGGTTTTGGGATTGAGGTGATATTGTAATAAGATGAGGGTTTTGGGGACCTTGGAATGGCTTGAATGTGTTCTGCACATGGAGTTAACATAACTCTCCAGAGACCAGAGGATAGAATGAGATAGGCAGAATTCTAAGACCACTCCCCCACAAGATTCCTGGATGCTAGTGCAGCACATACAACATCTTCCAGTTATTTAGGCAAACACTAAACTAGGTGCCATGTGACAGAGTATTCCAGAAGTCTCTATTATCCCAATTCAGTTATTTTAAATGGGGACATAACCCAAGCAAGACTGAACTAACTATGAACCCTTTAAATCTGAGTCTAAAGGTCAGTGATGGAACAGTAAGAAAGATTCAAAAAGTGTGAGGGATTATATATTATATTATATTATATTATATTATATTATATTATATTCAACAACATAAGGGGGATTCTTACTGTTGACTCTGGAGATGGAAGAGCCATGTAGACTAATTTTACCTGTTTTTGAACTTCATAAAAACTGATTGCTGTAGGAGACAGTCACTGGTGCCCAACTTTATCAGCCAAGTATCTTTGTTCAGATTCATTGATTGCCAAATATATAAATAGTTCTTTCTTTTTCAAAAAATTTGTATTACTACTGCACATATTTGCAGTACATAATGCTCACACTCCTTGAGAAGAGTTGGTGCATGTACCGAACATGTCTAAATTCCTTTTGCATCCCCTTATCTCTCCTCTCCTTCCCCTTCCTTCATCTCTTATCCCCTTTTCTTTGAGAAAGAGCTATCTCCCTCCTTCCTATTATCTAGTCTTTATTTTCCTCTTTATTTATATTTTGGGTTCCTAATATAAAAGAAATCATGTGATATTTAAGCTTGTGCATCTCATTCATTATTTGATTTTAGTATTATAGTCTCTCAAAGTACATCCACTTCTCTACAAATAATTCAAGTTTATCTTTATATAGGGCAGAGTAGTACGCCTTTGTGTAGAAATACATTTTCTTTATCCTTTCACCTGTTAATGAACATATAGGCTGCTTCCAAGATGTAGCTAATATGAATTGTGCTGCTGTACACATGGGTATGCATGTGTCACTGTAATATTATCATACTATTTTTAACTCTTTGGGGAAGCTACCTAGAAGGGGAATGGCTGGATTGAATAGAATTTCTAGTTTTAATTTTTAGAGGAATAGCCATACTAATTTCCATAGTGGTTATACTAGTTTACACTCCCATCAACAGTAGAGAAGTGGTTGTTGTTTTTTTTTTTCCCACACCATTAATAGCACTTTTTATTATTAGATTTCTTGATGCTGGCCATTTTTTCTGAGTAAGATGGAATCTCAGTGCTATTTTAATTTTAATGCTGAGGGTTATGTTTTGGATTAATATACCACAATATGCTCATTCTTTCCAACCATTTTGCTATTTTGAATAAAGCAGTTATGAACATTTCTGTGCAAGTGTTTTTTGCAAATTTTTGGTAAAATATAGTTCATTGAAGCAGACATTATTTTCTCCATTAAATTACGCTAATATATATATTCAAAAATACTTAATGATAGAAGAGTATGTTTCTGGTCTCCCTACTTTCTTCTGATGAATCTGCCTGGCTTTTCTCCCAATACTGAACTGATTATTTTTGCTTGATCCTACTCAGTAAGTAATTACATTTTTCTCAATGCCATTTGTCTCTACATAGTGAACATATGAGTTTCTCAACCAGAATATTCCTTTTTTTTTTTTTTTTAAAGGAGAATACAAATTCAAAAAACATTGGAAATGATACAGAATTTCAAAACAAGATGATAGGAAATCAGCAATGGTTGGTATATTGCATATTGTTACCTTCAAAGTAGTTGTTCAGATTACCAGCTATAGGCATGCAAAATTGATCAAAAAAATTAAGCATTAACTGTTCCTTCCAATAAACCAATAGAAATTAGTAATATAATTATCTTACCTGTCTTGTGCATATATTTTTTTCACATCCTTCTTTCTTTCTTTTCTCCTTTCCCTCATCCCAGTTGTTCCTTCCTTCTGAGCACATTCTTTTCCTTAACCAGAATATGCTTATAAATTTGGAAAATATGCCAGTTTCTTTGAAAGGAGATGTCTTTGTTGTTATTAAAGGAACTTTCTTCCAACGATAGTCCGAGGTATTTATTAAGGGTCTCTTTTACACAGACATGAGCTAATCTATTTGGCAGAATGGCTTAATTTTCTGGGACATTTTATTTGGAATTGTATTTTAAAGTGACTGGGATTATCTTTGTGTCAGTCACACATCTTCTTATATGCTAATTTCTCAGACACCATTAGTACAATAAGATTTTAATTTAATATCTAGGGTTCTGGACTTCTGCCTGGCCCTTTCTGAAGTTAAGGTGTATTTGTATCTCAGTTGAATTAATAATTGAAATTTCTGTGCTACTCCCCAGTGCCAGGCTTCTGTTCCCTTCGCTATGGTGTGTCCCTGCTTCTGCACTTCTGCAACGGGGCAATCATGACACAGCGTGTGTGCCTGAGCCTCACGATGGTGGTGATGGTGAATGACACATGGGGTCTGACCAATGTCTCTTCAAGGGAGAATCCGGGCAACATAATGGTATGTCAGAAACATTGCCCATAGCCATATTTTCAAAAATCCTACTGTGCTAATTTGTGTAGAGCTTAAATATTATTGATAGAACAATAATAATGAGGAAGATGCTACTGTCAGGCTGGTGGGTTATTCCCTCAACCCAGGAAGAATTACAAGGCAGAAAGTCAACAGAGGACTGAGAGAAAGTATTTATTATAGAATGAAAGCAGAAAGCAGCCTCTATTGTAAAGTTAAAGCAAAAAACTTCTGATTCATGAACCTGAGAGGGGATCCAAAGAGGTTACCAAAAGAACTCTTGGTCTAGGGGCTTCTATACACAAAAATGACTACGTCTCAGCCAAGTTGAGATCAACCTAAGGAGTTATAAACAGTAAAATCTGACCTTGAAGGATGCCTAAAGGGATTATGCATCATTAATTGTAACTTCTCTAAAATTGGCAGAACAAACAGAACAAAGACACTCATTAAAGAGGTATGGACAGTTTATTCCTGGGCAAGAAAATCTCACCAATCCAACGAGGACTTTGTTTGCTGCCTCTGGTGCCCCAGCATTGGCCATCATGTCCTTCTCTGAACCATTCTGACTCCCTGTCTGGCTTGGCTTTTCCCTGGCTTCCTGTGGAACTGTTTTTGCCATAATCCTCCCCACACTCCTCCTTCTTCACAGCCCAACTTCATTCTGAGAAATCTTCTCACTTTCCCACAGGCCCTCCTTGTCCTCATAAATATCATGTTTTACAGAAACTCATTACTTAGATTACTGTTGGGTGCTTCTTATTAGGTTAGGAAAATGACACCCCAACCTCAGAAAATGAAACCTAAGCCCAGTCACAACTGTTGAAGGCTTGCGGTTCATTCTTCTCACATCTCTTTTTAGCTCCCTGTTTCATTCCCCCCAAGTATGTTCTCCCTCTGAAGAAAGGGTGTGGTTCTTTTGCTCTCTCCCTGTTTTAAAGCAGAAGCTCAAGTCTTGATCTACCTTGCCAGCAATGTGCTAAATAAGCATGTCTTGTGATTAAGTACACCTCCATATTTAGGTGTATTGAAATCTGAAACACTTCTTTATTGAAATCCAAAACACTTTTAGTGTCAAACATTTTGGATAAGAGATATTCAATCTGTAATTGAAGACCTCAATGATAAAATGTAAATATGTATATAAAATAACATAAGGGAATATGTGTGACCCTTTAACAAAAAGTATTAGGGACAGGAAGCTACTTTTCATGACTGAGCAAGAAGATCATACTTCCCAGATCTCTAGATATTACATGGGTCTACAGTATGTGTCTTTTCTTTCAGAACCCTGTCTATAATTGGAGCCCTGCTATACAAGGGATCATCTTAAGTTCCATCTTCTATGGCATAGTTATTGTCCAAATTCCTATTGGATACTTATCCGGAATATACTCTATAAAGAACATGGTTGCCTGTGGATTATTCCTCAGCTCTGTTCTCACTCTGTGCATCCCACCAGCTGCTCAGGTTGGAGAAACTTTGGTCATTGTGTGTCGAATAGTCCAGGGAATGGCCCAGGTATTATGCTACATAGAAACTGAACAAGATTTAAATTCACACTAAGCATCAGGGATTACATGTCTGGATCTTTCTTATTTTAGGGAACAATAGCAACAGCCCAGCATCACATATGGGTCCGGTGGGCTCCTCCTTTGGAACGAGGGCGACTCACCTCTATAAGTGTCTCAGGTAGGGACTTAGTACCTAGAATGTTTGAATTCTATTGTCATCTTATTGTATCCTGTTCTTCCCTATGGCCATAAGAAACATGTGTTTTGAAATGTTGAGGGCTTTGCAAACCATCAGTTCCAGCTTTCTTGCTTTAAAAAGAAGGAAATTATTTAGAAAAAAGTCACTTTATCCCAAACAACAAAAAAAGGCTAGAAAAACAAAACTTTATTACTTTCTTCTGATAAGTGTTAAGTCAGTGCTAAGCTGTGCAATTTATTTCACAAGACATTGTTCATTGCTACAGTGAAGTTACCTCCTCTCTACTTTCAGATGTCTGCATTAATTTCATAGCGATGCGTTTTGTCCCTTCTGCTTAGGGGTTATGCTGGGACCCTTCATTGTCCTGCTTGTGACTGGATTGATCTGTGATCTTCTGGGCTGGCCTTTGGTCTTCTATATTTTTGGTGAGTCTTTTTCTATAAATTCCCACTTATGATTCAGAACTTAAGAAGAAAAAATTAATAAAAATCTAACAATGTAATAATTTATATCAAGTTAGTATTTAAATCACAAATTCCACTGAGAGAGAGAAAAGTCAACCTTCATGAAGTTCTTATTACAAACCAGGTGTCATGCTTAGAACTATACATGTATTTTGTACCTAACTTTTACAACTCTGTAATGTGGAGGTTGTTGTATCACATATCTTATATGAAACTCTTTAGGAAAGGGGTAATCAGAATAATCAACTTTTCAGATTTTTGAGAGATCATTGTCTTGATTACTTTTCTCTCATTGCAGGGACAAAATACCTGACACCCAAAATTAAGGAAGGAAAGGTTTATTTAGCTCACAGTTTGTGGAGGTTTCATTCCCTAATCAGCTGGCTCCAAGGTAGGGTGGCATGTCACAGGGGCATCAGTTCAAGGTGGCAGAAGACACAAAAGCAACAAGAGGAAAAGTGGGGTGAAGCAAATCTCTTTTTCTTCTTTGTATTGTATGCCGGCTATCTGCCCACACAATCTCTGTGCCCTCCTGTTTCACAAACTCTAGATATATACAAAGTGAGGACCCTGATCACCTGCTGAGTCACTAAGTTAAGCTTCTAAACTTCTCAATTCTCAAGTTGACACAATGTGTCAATCATTACAGTCATATTTTAAGTATATATTTATACTTAATCATGATCTTGGCCCTGCTTTATGATAAAACACATTAATTTCTGAAGTCAAAAATAAATTTTGTACAAATTGGAGCACACAAAAACCATAAAGAATTGGAGTTGCCAAATGAGTTATAAAACCACTTTTGGCTTTAACATCTTGGTTTGAGATATGTTGAAGGGACAGTGAATGACTGTGATTATGTCCATTTGTTAGGTGAGGACATTTATAGAGGCTATGTCCATTGCCCAAAATCATATTTAAGGTAAATTCAGGATTTATTTACAAAGTGATTGTTTAAAAAATGGGTACAAGATGTAGTTAATTACAGGGATAGAGCAGTAACGCAAGGGGAGTGATACTGAAGCTAGTCCCATCCCCACGCTCAGAGGCAAAGGAGGGAGTAGTTACCATTGTCCATTAGGAGGGAATCTGGTAGAGCAGACTGCCTCAGTAGAACACATGATTTTTTCATTAAAGAAATAAAAACACATAGAAAGAGGTAATTTTAGGAATGAGATATTTAGGGCTTGAAACAACACCATAATCCCACTAATTCTCTCCCTCTCATCGCTACCCAGGCTTTCTGTTGGCTAAATCAAACAGAAAGGCAGGGCATGGAGCCTGTTGATGTTTATTAAAGCAGCCATTTATGGCCAAATCAGGGTGTACAGGTATGGTGAGTGGACCTAGAAGAACACATAGAGAATATACACCTCATACAAAGAACAAAAGGCAGAGCCATAATGTGCAAATACATCCATCACTGTTAATCACCACTTTGGTCTTCAGTAATAACAGGTAGTCAGTGTAGAGATGAGACACATACACCGTGTCTTAAAAGGGGTTGAAAGAACTGGGACTCTCTCTCCTGGAGAAAAGAAAATTTGCTCTTCAAGAGAAATTCAGAATTGTTTGGCATTATAAAACTAAGCTACATCTGCAGAAATTACTGGGACAAAAGGCTTTAGTCTTGTGTAAGACAAGTTTTTCAATAGTTAATTGCTGATCAAATTGGGTGGATGACCCTCAACATTCACATTCTATTCCTACTTCAGCATAATGTACAGCAACATATCGCTGGTGTAGACACTGTTTTAAAGAACAAGACAATGTCTGTTCTGTCATTAAGGAGTTCATAAGTGCTGAAGTGGAATATGATAGGCTTAGGTAAAAATTTTTGGTACTTACCCTTTTTGTTGCACTATATCTTCCATTATCTGCAGTTTGGTGTCTATCATTAATTTTGAGAAATTCTCAATAATTATTGCTTCAAGTGGTACTTCTGTTCCTGTCTTTTTTCTTATGTTATTTCCCTTACATACATATTAAACCATTGGTAGTCTTGTAATTGTTCCATAGTTCTTGGATATTCTGTTCTGGTTCACGCTTCTGTTTTAGCAATTCAGTTTTGAAACTTTCTATTACTGTTCTTCAAGTTCACTGATTCTTTTTCAGTCATGTCCAGTCTTCACTTCTGTTAGGATGCCTTTGGTTCCTCTCATTTCCTTCTGATCTTGATAAGCTCCCAGACCACTCTTTCTTGTCTCAGTCTCACTGACTATGCCCTCCCTGCCCTGGACTTCATACTTCTAGCCATTCCTTCTCTGTTTGTGTTCCTGATTCTCGCTCCTTTCCTTACCACTCTAACCTCTACCTTACTTCAAGCTCTACCCCATCCTCATCCTCCAGGATGTATTCCTCAACTAGATAATACAGTTTCGGTGTGGGGTCACTTACTGCTTACTAACCATGTGTCTCTGGGCAAATAATCTGATCTTTCCGAGTTTTCTCATTGTGCAAAAGAGATAATTATATAAATTTTTTGAAGGTAAAATAAGACAACATCTCTTCCTCATCTACTTGAAAGTCACCTTGATGAAGGCAAGGATTTTTGTCTGTTTTATTTACTGCTCCGCCTTCAGGATCTAACATAGTACATGGTAGATATTATTGTGTTTTAACAATATTTGTCAGATGAATGAATGCATTTTGGGAAGACTAAATGGTAAGCACTATATACTCTACCTTAATAGAAGATTCCCCATCATTAAGTTATTAGTATGAAAAAATTCAAAAACAAGAATTTTACATTTATAGGATTTGGATAATCCCTGAAGCCTCGATGGTATCTCAAGAGTACAGCTAAGGCTGAGCCCTCAAACTGGGTAACTGTCAAGCTCTGAGCAGGCTTAGATCTCCCCTACTCTGGTGATGCAACACATTCCAAATCTGAAAAGATAAGAAGCTAAAGACAGAACGGCCCAGCCCAGTGGACAAAAGCAGAGGCTAGCTGATTAGGAGAAGCCAGAGGGCTTACCACTATCGCTGTAAAATCTTTTTGGTAAGAAAACAGCTCTGGATACAAGGAGGACTGTCCAAAGTATGAGCTTTGTTGCAAAGTTTCAACAAACAGGGGACATCTAGGTTCACAGAGTGATACAATGGAAAGTGTCATAGGTTAAAAGACCTTCTACAGACAGAAACTTCCAATTCTAACATGTCCTTCTTTGATAGGTGTTTATGGCTGTGTCCTATGTGTTTTCTGGTTCGTTCTGTTTTATGATGACCCAAAGGACCACCCATATATAAGCATCAGAGAGAAAGAATACATCCTATCATCCCTCGCCCAGCAGGTAAACCACAGTGCTCTGTATTGGCATCTCCCAGATTCTGATCCAAACAAAAGAAGTTCTAGCTTGTCGTCATCTGAGAATGACTAATCAATTATTTTTCAGGACAGCTCAAGTAGTGTGACAACTCTGCCCATCAAGGCTATGCTGCAGTCCCTCCCACTCTGGGCCATTTCCCTCTGTAATTTTGCTCTTCTCTGGACAAATAATTTTGTAGTTACATACACCCCAACATTTATCAACAGTGTACTTCATGTTGATGTAAAAGAGGTTAGTATATCACAAGTTCTTACTATAACTTTATGAAGGACTCTCTCTTTCTCTGTCTCTAATGACCCTGGTCTCAGCTCTTGCCTACCTCTCTATGGTGTTATCTATGGTGTTTATCTGGAGATGTATGGTTTCTGATTTCTGTGAAAAGTAGTCAGAATAAAAGCTAGTGGTATAAATATAGTGTCTGGCATCCCACCAACAATATGCCTGCAACCCATGTCACCACACCTCCCTTAACTCCCATCACTATGTGGTTGCCCTATACGTAACTAAAGATTCAACATCATTATTTCCTTTGGTGACTGGGGGCCTTCCTGAAAGTCACATGGCCAAATCCTGGCATCTTATCCAACACTCATCCATCTCTCTCCTGGAGTATGACAATGTATTTGGATACTGGATTTGGACATGGGCTATGACCCATGACTTGGGTCTTCTGTGACACCTTCATTGCTTATCTGACTTGAGAATCACTGATGCATGGAACCTCCTGTTATTTGATAAAATAATCAGAAAAGATTCTCTTAGAAATTCAATCTGGGCTTGCCACTTAAGGGTTGTGCATAATGAATCAGTGGCCTAGGCTAGTGCCAGCATAACAGTAAGATTCAATAACCCTTGTGAACTCAATCCTATCTTCCATGAAACCATGGAGTTGCTGCAAGGATTGACAGTAGCCAGTATAGAGTGGGCACCATACATATACTATAATTGTCATCATATTTATAATTTCCCCTGGGGCTACCACTTCCCATTCCAATACAGGTTTTTTCTACATTATATGGCAAATTCAGGGCCCATGATCCTAAAAGTAAAACTCAGACAGATTATGACAAATATTACTATTTTCCTCTTTATGTTGGATAATGTGGCCCCAGAAGTAATCCTAGTGCTGTATGCTGATGATTTTCTGCATGAAAGTACACATTTTAGATACTGAATTCCAAGGTAGCAATTACTGTATGTATCAGAGCTCCTGCATCCACCATACGGACTCTCAGAATAATGTCTCTCCCTCCACAGAATGGGCTTCTGTCCAGCCTGCCCTTTCTGCTTTCCTACATCATTGGTATCCTAGGAGGTTACATGGGAGACTTCCTCCTGTCCAGAAATATTCTCAGCACCATTTCTGTCCGGAAACTCTTCACTATACTAGGTATGGAGCTGCCAGGCATTCCAACACATGGTGGGTGCGTCCTCCCCATTTCCAGTGTGCACCTAACCATGTTGTCTGCATCCCTCCCCAGGAATGTTCCTGCCTGTAGTGTTCAATATGTGCATGCTCTACCTGAGTTTCAACTTTTATAGCGCCATTATCTTCCTGATACTTGCTCATTCAACATCCTCCTTTGTTTTAAGTGGAGTATTCATAAATGTCTTGGATATCGCCCCCAGGTAGAGTTTTCTTAAAATTCATGTATTTTTAATTAACAAATCAAAGTTGTATTTATTTATTGTGTACAATATGATGTTTAGAAATATTGATACATTGTGGGAAGGTTAAATGTACATATGTATACTTATCACTTTTGTGGTGAAAACCCTTAAAATCTACTCCCAACATAATTGTCAAGAATATAATGCCTGGCTAAGGATGATAATAATCATCAGGCTATACAACAGATCTCTTGAAGTTATTCTTCATCTCTGGCTGAAATTTTGTATCCTTTGATCGACACTCCCAGATTCTAGTATCCAACATTCTCTTCTCTATTTCTGTGAGTTCAACTTTTTTAGATATCAGATGGTTATGAGATTACATAGTATTTGTCTTTTTGTGTCTGACTTATTTTACTTAACATAATGGCCTCCAGGTGTTTCTGTATTGCCCAAAAGGATAGGATTTCCTTCTTTTTAAAGCTTGAGTGATATTTCACTGTGCATATATACCACACTTTCTTTATCCATTCACCCACTGATAGATACTTAAATTTTTTTCTATATCTTGTCCATTGTGAATAATGCCACAATAAACATAGGAATACGGATATCTCTTCAAAATACTGATTTTATTTCCTTTGGATATACACCCAGCAGCGAGAGTGCTCAATCATATGGTGGTTCTATTTTCAATGTTTCAAGAAACTTCCACACTGCTTTCTATAATGACCACACTAGTTTACATTCCCACCAACAATGTGCAACTCTTCCCTTTTCTTCATGTCCTCAAAGAGAGGCATCCTCAACACACTTCTCTCTTATCTTTGTGCTAATATCCTCTCTAGGGTGTGAGGTAATCTCTCATTGTATTTTTAATTTGCATTTCCCTGATAATTAACAAGGATGAGCATTTTTCATATGCCTGTTGTCCACTTGTATGCCTTCATTTGAAAAATGTCTGTTTGGGTCCTTTGCCCATTTCTAATAAATTTTTTGTATTCTTGATATTGAGTTGTTTGAGCTCCTTAAATATTTTGGGCATTAATCTCTTGTCAAATGTAGGGTTTGCAAGTATTTTTCTCCCCTGGCATAAATTCTGTCTTCATTCTATTGATTGTTTCCTTGACTGTCCAGAAGCTTTTTACTTTTATATAATTCTGCATGTCTACTTTTGCTTTTCCTGTATATTATTTTTGGTCATGTTCAAAAAATGATTTCCCAAACCAGTGTCACAGAAATTTTCTCCATTGCTTCCATTGACTGGCTTTGCAGTTTCAAGTCTTAAATAGTCTTTAAATTATTTTGGGTTAATTTTTCAATGTAGTATGAGATAAGGATAAACTTCTACTTTCTTCTTCACATGGATATTGATTTGCCCTAACACCACTTGTTAACCATTTCCCCCAGTTATTTCCTCAAGAATTTTATCAGAAGTCAACCCCTTATAAATATTTGGATTTATTTCTGGGATGTCTGATCAATGTGTTTTTCTGTCAGTACCTTCTGTATATGATTACTACACCTTTTACTCTATTCTGAAGACAAGTAGTGTGGTACCTCTAGCTTTGTTCTTTTGCTCAAGACTGCTTTGGATATTTGAGGTCCATTTTGACTTCATATGAATTTAGGGAGTGTTTTTCTATTTCTGTGAAAAATAGCATTATAATTTTGATAAGGTTTTCCTTGAATCTGTAGATCATGTCAGTCAGTATAGACATTTTAATGATATTAATTCACCCTTTTCATGAACATGAGATATTTTCCCATTTATTTGTCTTCTTTGGTTTCTTTCATCAGTGTTTCATAGTTTATAATGTCTTTTGTCTCTTAAATTTATTCATAAGTACTTTCTACAGCTCTTACAAGTGGGATTGTTATATTGTTTTTTGCTTCAGATAGTGTGTTGGGAGCAGGTAGGCTTTTGAAAAATATCTTCTTACTTTGAATGCAAGATCTCAGAGCTTCTCAGATTATAACTATTTTGAAATTGATAGCCAGAAGGCCAAAATTTCTGAAGAAATATATGTCAGACATAAATATCAATTTATTATGCACCTAATGATTTTTGTACCTGTTATCTGTAAAGAAGTATAATTTAATAAGTACATATTTTAAAGGCAGCATGTTAGCTTTAGTATCACCATGGCTACTTAATTTAATAGATTATTTACCTTCTCTGTGCTCAGTTCCTCATCTATAAAATAGGAGCAACAAGGGAATGCTTTCCTCACAGAGTTATTAAAAGTATTAAAGAAACTAATGTATGACAAATACTTAGAGTAATACTTGACATACAGAAAACACTGTATTGCAGTTAGCTACTCCACTACTATTATTGTAGGCACATTCACAAATGATTAACCTTATCAAGGTCCATTATGTTATAATCTTCCCATGACCATGGAAGGATAGTAAAACATAAAGGGGGCTTATTAAAAATTAAATAAAAAGAAATTGTGCATGACACATATACAAAGGAACATATACTAAATTAGGACATGTTTTAAGATTATGTCTTTCTAAGGACCATAAGCAAATGATCTCATGGTCATGGTGACCAAATATGAAAAGAACAAATTTTAGTGCATTCAAATAAATCACAAAAATGTATATATTAGGAGTATCTGTGCCCATCATGACTGAATTTGACACAGAGAATGTTGAGAGAAAGAAGCCAATACCAGAGGAAAATCACCTCCAACACAAGTCCATTCTCATAAACTACAAACAGGTAAATCAAGTGCTACTGGTGGAAGCAGCACAGATAGGTCTTTAAGAAGTTGCAGTCAAAAATATTACAGTGGAAGTCATGTGTATCTGAGAGATGCACTTATTACTAGTGAGTGCTGAAATGCAGAAAAATTCAAAATACTACAAATTTTCATTTATTATTTTCATATAATAAAAGACATGATCTTTTAGTTATAATCTAGAAGCTATTAAACAAAAATATAAACAATGCAGATTTTTTTTCCTTTCAGATAATGGAAAATGGATATTGCTAAAAAATACAACCAAAAATGTCTTTAACCAAAATTTTTAATAATTGACTTTGCCAAAATGTTTTTTGCCTTTCTGAGACAGGGTTGCACTAAGCAGTTTAGGCTGATCTTGAACTCACTTTGTAGACCATACTGGCCTCAGACTTGCAGAAATCCTCCTGCCTCAGAGTTCTGAGTGCTGGGAGTACAGGTGTATGCCACCACTCCTGGTCTGCAAAATTTTTAACAGTCATCACAAACAATATTGCTATGTTAAAGCCACAGATACTTTCAACAACACTTGCAAAAATATTTTGATAAGCACCTCCTTTTGGATGAGAGCACCTAACACAGCTTTTGCCTTTTTTTTTGCTTGTCAGAGAAGCCACATGTGTGTTTTCACTAGAATTTTCTTCAGTTTGTATTTGAAATAGTAGTTTCAAAGGTAAAACATTCATGTGCACCTGTAGATTTCTCAGCACCTTTCATTTGTTCAAACATGGTGTTACAAGATTTCTAATGAATATTCTGTGCCTTATTTTCACATTGTTGTTCAACATATGGACTGGTTTTTTTTTTTTTTCTTTAGGGTATATGAGATAAAATTCTGCAATCGGAACCAAAAATAAATGTAACATTGACCTCCAAGACTCAGAAAAAAAAATCAACACTGACTTCAGAGGTCACAGTACATCTAGATACAATTTAACTATCAAATATTACACGCCTTTAACAAAAAACTAGTAGCTTATCCATTATGCTTTAATATTAGTCAGCACAAACACAACTACTCATGACCTTGAATCTACGCACCTGGTATATGTAAGAATATTTAAGAAAAGAGCTTTCTTGTGTCTCTCAGATCAACCACAACCTCCAAAATGCCACAGTATAAAGAAAAGAAGAAGTTGGGCATGGTGTCACAACGGTCATCCCAGTGATCTGAGAGGCTGAGGCAGAAGGATCATGAGTTTGAGCTCAGCATGGACAACCTATCAATTTAGTGAGATTTTATCTAAAATAAAAACTAGAAATTTGAGTATCTCACTCAGTGTGAAGGTCCTGAGTTCAATCCCCAACATCACTAGATTAGATAGATAGATAGATACAATAGAAAGATGATAGCAGATAGACAGACACACATATTCTTTTTGTGGAGGTGAAAAACACTCATAATGAGGTCTTCTTTAGGGCTTCATTTTAAAATTGTTGTCTATTTTCTGCCTGCTATCATTTGAACACTTTTTTCATGTCTTTGGTATAATTAGATTATTCAAATTTTCTACTTCTCAAGTAATTAATTTTTCTGTACTCAGACAAGTCATCTTAAATTTCAACTATATGAGTATACCTTTGTATCTGTTATTATCCTTATTCTTGTCATCATTATTACTATTTTACAAGAACACCAATGCAAGTTTTAATTTAACAGGGCCTGTGGATCAGCACAGGGGTTCAGTACACAGGAGGGGCTCTCCTAGACCAAAACCCAAGAGATGGCTGAGGAATGCTGCTTATATAGCAGCTTTCATGCCCTGTGACAGTGAAAAAAAAAAAAAATAAGCCCTTCTAAATTTGTTTTTACACTCTCTTTTACTTAAAATCTTTTTGTGATTTCTTTCTTGATAACACTTCATTAAATGTATATCCTTTTTTAGTTTTCAAAAATCTTGTTCTTAATTTTATGACATCTACTTCCTTTGAATTTCATTACTATCTGTTTTAAACCATTTTTATCATGCTTAAATTGTTTGTCCAGCCTTGATTCCGGAATTCGATGCCCAGTTCATTTATTGTCACTTTTTCTTAAATAATTAAAAGCAAATACAAATACAGGTTTTTCCCTAAACATCTTAGCAATGTATTAGTTAGTGAACAAAGCTAAGCTGCCGTAACAAGGAGACTACAAAACAAAAGTGTGAGGTACAACAGAAGTTTATTTCTCTCCTAGGCAACAAGCTGGGGTAGAGGGAAGATTTTGCTCTTCTCAGCATGAGGTTCATGTCTCAATTAGAAACCAGCTCTGCTCCCCCAAAGTTCTCCTTTGTTCAAGTCTGATGGAAATGGCCCCTTTGTATCTGCTACTCCCTTGGCTTTCCTGCTTTGTCAGCTCTCTTCCTGCTAAAGTTGGCTTGACTGTTAAGGATTAGCCAATCATATTGCTTGTAAATAGACTTCTCATTACCTGGCCTAGGTATTGGGTACAGTTCCTGGGGTCACAGTTCTGGGACTACAGGTCTACTACCCAGAGAATTCTACTCTATTTTTATTAATCTAAAACCAATTCCCATTACCAATACATATCACCTTCAGAATTTCTCAGTTGTCTTTCTTTCTCGATTCTGTTGGTTTTCACCCGAATGTAGCCTCATTTTCTTAATATTTTTATATTCTTTGCTCTTAATATCAATCTTTCTGACTTCATAGTGCAACCAGAAAGTTGCTTTTATCAACATACGTTTTCTGTCATTTGGTGGAATTTGAGAAATAGGAATGATGACTTCATGAAATCAGTAATCTCCCTTAAATCTCACTTAATTAAGTTGGATTTTCCTGCAGCATTTGTCCTACTGTACATCTGCATATTCCTCTTCTTTTCTAGATATTATGGATTTCTTAGAGGAACTACATCTTTAATTGGAATGATAGGAGGCATACTTTCTTCAACTGTCAGTGGATTAATCCTTAATGAGGTAAGGAACAAACAGACATGTATATTTTTCTTTTATAATTTGTACAGAGTAAAAAGTGATATGTATGTGAAAACTTGTGAAGAAGATGCTAGCAAGAAATAAGTATGAGTTTTTAGGCCATATAAAAATAAATTTGGTTAAATCACTCATCCCTCCAAATCTATAGGTAATACAATTTCATTCTCATTGTATGTCAATTATGCTGAAAACTTAGAATGCTAATCATTGGAACAGAAGTGACTTTTCTCTTATAAGTCCCTCTGAAGCAAGCAGATGAAAAATGGGAAGTTGAGCAAGTGTCTCACAACTTCAGAGGGCCACCAGGACAATACCTAAGAGTTTAGAGTCTAGGTTAGGACAAGATGGGACTATATCCAGGAAATTCAACTGACTCAAAAATGAGCTGTACATTCACAGGATTCAAGAGTAGCTACAAAATTCCTGCAGTAAATATTATGCATGTTTGGGCAATTGGAGAAATTTTCTTTTTGAGTTGGGAAATAGGAAAAAGATGCAACTATCACTGTTTATGTTAAACTTTGCACTATGTCTTACCTAGTGAGATAAAGCACAAGTATATGAATATATGAGTGTAAAAAGAAATAGATTTAATATTTTTAATGGGATGTAGTCAAAGGTACTCAGAAGACTTCATATGTTAAAAGACTAAAAATTGTAGAATGTTTTCCAATCATTCTGAATGATCTGAAAATTCCATGCAATTCCAATGAAAATTCTAAGTTATTTTTGTGGAAAGAGAAGAGGTCTTTATACAACTGACGTGTGTTCACTAAAAGCCGAGAATAACCAAAAGGCTGTCAGGGAACAAAAGCTGGGATGTTGGCTCTCAGTGGTATAAGAACACCCCCCTGGGAAATAGGAATGAATATGAGAGTACTAAATCTTAAAGCAATAATTAAGATACATGGAAATATGTTAAATTTGCCAATAAGTATATAAAATCATGTGTTCTTTCTCTACCTACCTAGTAATGTTATATCACATGCATATGTGATATAACATTATATTGTTTACATAACATACTTTTAGAAATGCACAAAGCTTTGAAGTAATATGTCAGAATAGAAATAGATGAATCAGTTAATTAGGCTCTACAAGAAACTGATGTATTAAACTTAACATCTGGTGAAAATGGAATATATTGTAGTAAGATAAAACAATTACTTTTGTAGAGTGAAATAATGATTCCTTTGGTTACTTCTGAGTCTTTTTCCATGTTTAAGTGACTTGCATTGAGTTTATATTATTTTTGATACTATAAATTTAAATGCTACAAAACACAGAAACAATATCATTAATTGACAACTTTTTTGCATTTTTACCTTTCAGGATCCAGAAACTTCTTGGTATAAAATCTACTTCTTGATGTCATCCATTAGTGTGATAACTCTAATTTTCTACCTTATATTTGCTAAAGCAGAAATTCAGGATTGGGCTAAAGAAATCCAAGACACCCGACTTTGAAGGTGAGAAGTGATCAAGTTAAGAACAGTTTTTGGAACTGTGAATGCAGAAAGAGAGGTTAAAGATGAAAGGCATCATAGAGAACAGGTGCCAGTTTAGGGGAGAAAAGAGGATCAGCTACATTAAATCTGAAACTATTAGACATCAGCACAGAAATGAAGGCCACCCAGGGGACATACTGCTCAGGAACTGAGAGGTGATGTCAGGGCTAGAGATACAAATTTGGGAGCCTGGGTTTCTCTAAATTTAGCAGGTGAGAAAGAGAAGAAGTTTGCAAGGGAGAATGGGGAAAGCCTTCATTCAAGGGGGATAGTAGTTGGCAAATGTGTCTTGAGAAGAAGTGAAAAGTACAGGAGTGAGTACCATTAGCAAGTGCTTGAAGGGGTGAAATTATACAAGGATTAAAATTTTAGTAGTGGGTAAAGCAAGAAATACCTTCAAGTAATCCTGAAAATGGTTTTCAAATGACTGATGGAGACAAAGTGTCCATGAGAGTGAGTACAGTGGAATTTGATACTGTGTGTTTCATCTATGAACTCTATTGGTGGTCAATAAATAGCAGGGGAAATGTCTCCTTATCAGCTAATGCAGGCAGAAGCACTGATAGATGTGGAATTTTATACATGATAAGTATTTTATACATGATGAGTGATATTTTATACATGCATTTAATGTATTTTGATCAAAATAATGCCCCCATTACTTTTCCACAGAATTAAAGGATCATTCCAGGTGTTGAATGGCAATCGCTGTTAAGCTCACAGAAAGAAAGGCATGAAGACACTGTGTGCCTCCTCAGGAGCCATGCACTACCGCCTTGTTAAGAAAATGAGCCAAATCTGATCAAGCGTCTAGAAACAGCCATGTTAACTAGGTACTGAGAACAGAGAATACATTAAAATGCAAGGATGTCGTCAAAATCAGGGAGATTTTATAGGTCAAAAGACTCAGATCTTTAACAAATAAATTGTAAAGAATGGAAGAGGACTCTCAAGATTAAAAAAACTTTAAAAACATCAAATTTTTTAAACTATGGGAGATTTTATAGGTCAAAAGACTCAGATCTTTAACAAATAAATTATAAAGAATGGAAGAGGACTCTCAAGATTAAAAAAACTTTAAAAACATCAAATTTTTTAAACTATATTTTCATTGGAGCATATTAATTTCACAAAATATTGGATTTCAAAGTGATATTTTATACATGCATTTAGTGTATTTTGATCAAAATAATGCCCCCATTACTTTTCCTTACCCCCACCCCCTCATCCCTTTCCTCTTGCCTAATAAGTTTTCATGCTGCTTTCATATCATTTTTTCTCTATTTAGATTCCACATATTAGGGAAAACATGAGATCTTGTTTTTCTGACTGTGGCTTATTCCACTTAACATAATTTTCTCCAGTTTCACCCACTTTCCTTCAAATGACATAATTCTGTTCTTCTTCATGGCTGAATAGTACTCCACTGTGTATATATGCCACATTGTCTTTTTTTGTTTGTTTGTTTTTCTCCAGTACCAGGAACCGAACTCATGACCTTGCACTTGCCAGGTAGGCACTTTTGTAGCTGAGCTAAATCCCCAGCCCTATGCCACATTGTCTTTATCCATTCACACTGATGAGCACAAAGGCTGGTGCTACATCTTGACTATATGAGTTGTGCTACAATGAACATGTGATGATATACATATGTCATGATATACATGTGGGTGATAAATGTATAGAGACATAGAGAAGAGATTATTATAAACATCAGGCTAGTCTTTACTTTGGGGGGAAGGAAAGGACCACATGGAAATTTCTGGGGTTCTAGCAATATTCCATTTCTCATGTCCCAGTACAGGGATTAAGAATGGTTACCTAATAATAAATCATTGGGCCAAATATTTGTTTTGTACAATTTTCTGTTGCCTCTTTTGTTTATAGAAAGAAAGAGAGGAAGGAAAGAGGAAGGAAGAAAGGAAGGAAGGAAGGAAAGAAGGAAGGAGGAAGGGAGAGAGGGACAGAAGTAGGAAGGAAGGAAGGAAGGAAGGAAGGAAGGAAAGAAAGGAAAAAGAAAGAGAAAGAAAGAAAGAAAGAAAGAAAGAAAGAAAGAAAGAAGAAAGAAAAGAAAAGAAGAAAGAAAGAAAGAAAGAAAGAAAGAAAGAAGAAAGAAAGAAAGAAAGAAAGAAAGAAAGAAAGAAAGAAAGAAAGAAAGAAAGAAAGAAAGAAAGAAAGAAAAGAAAAGAAAACACAAATTGAAGAGACACAGACAGCCAGGATTAACATGCCTCTAAAGGACAACACAGAAATGGTGCAGGATCCACAGAGGGTTTTGTTGTTGTTGTTTGGGAAGACTGAAGCTGAAGCACACAGGGTGCCTGAGAGGGGAGCAAGGGGAGCTGACATCAGGGCAGAACAGAGCTCTTGAGTTCACTGGGGCTGAGGGGTGAAAACCAAGCCCTCTGCAGGAGTCCTGAGCTGTCCCTAGCAGCACAGGCAGTAGGGTTTATGTAACTGGTCAATACATGACTAGCATTTCCTTGTATTTTGATTTTGCAAACTTAGCAGCTGTTTCCAGCTTAAGGGTTTTTTTTACTTCATGCAATAACCAGTAAGGCTCTCACAGAAGAGGGAGGAGTTGAAAGAAAAGGAGGTGAAGAATTCACTTTGGACAAAAGGATAAAATTACCATTGGGAATGGACAGTGATTGTTTACCTAGAAAATCCAAGTGCATAGCCTGGAAAGCTATAAAAACCAGAAATGAATGTATAAGTTCCCCAGCTAAATGATTCATGTAGAATTAGATTCTTCATCTTAAAAACACACTTGTTGAAAGAAATGACACTTTCAGGGAAATCTGTATCATCAGTATCATCCAAAACAAAATTTACTTAGTATTGCCACTACTTAGCATTTCCGTAATGGTGCGGGTGCTAAACTTCACCAGGATGCATACGTAATCAACATTGCTCCTTAAGACGACACTGGGGTGTGGAATTAAGCATGTTATCAGCATGTATTAGGTACTAAATTTTGTTTAAGTGAGTGGACTATAACCAGCAGCTAAACATGTGGGAGCTTGTCTGAGTATCTGAGTGTAGAAATTACTGATTGTCCTTGTGAAGATCCCAGAGCAACTCCAGGAAACGTCTCGCTGGCCAAGGGGGACCCTCAGTTTTCAGAACATTCTCATTATTTTGCTCAGTCTTCTCTCTTGTTTGTATTTATAGCATTTGACCCATTAAATACTGAAGGTTTATGAATGGCTTCCATTTTTGTTACTTCTGTTCACCTCTTGTTATATCTAAGCAGTTATTTTTTAATATTCTGGTCTATAGTTGTACAAAAGATTGAGGCAAGTACAACTTAATTGGAAAGATATTGTGATTTTGCAAACTTATCAGTTGTTTTCCTCTTAAGATTTTTACTCTTTATTTGCTAATGTTAATATGACAATCTCAAGGCATGTGTTCCCATGCGCATGTGTGTGTATGTTCCAGATTTTCTGTACTATTTACATAACTTTAAAATTTTACTACCTGAATCGTGTTATTTAATGTGTTTTCTCCAAGGGTATATAAATGAGTTTCATTACCTCACCCACTTTTATGTAGATGTGTTTAATCTAACTCCATTCATCATTATATATATATAATTTTCTTTAGTTTTAATTTGTATTCCCTTAGAGAAGAATCTTTTTTCAAAAACTGGGAATTGAACTCAGGATTTTGGCACTGAGCTACAACCCTAGCTTGCTGGTCTTTCTCTCTTTCTTTCTTTCTTCCTTTCTTTCTGACAGAGTCTTACTGACTTGCCAAGTTACTCAAGCTGGGCTCAAATTTGTGACTCTCCTGCCTCAGTCTCTTAGAGTACTGGGATTACATGCATGTGCCACTACACTTAGTTATTCCTCCTTAATTTGAGGCCCTTTTGCTCCATATACCCCCTTTTCTGCCTCTGGAAATTTGGAAAGTTTATAGAATATTTTAAATTTTGACTGTACACATACTCTAAACCTTCAAAATATGTTCATATTTTCCTTTTACATGCACTATTATTATTCTGCTTTCTTTTCCCTTTAACATAACAATACATTCAGGAGGAACTCTGGGAGGCTGCTGCGATGTGAAATCATGCAGAGATTTTTGTTTTGTCTTTAGTTTTTTGTTGTTGTTGTTGCACTTATGGTTGTGTCTTCAGCAAGCTGTTTCTCTGGGGCTGCTGGATCTGCAGTATTTTTCCTATCACACTCAATCCCACTCCTTATAGGGATGGTCACTTTATAATTTTCTGTCATAAGTTGGCAGAAAATAAGCTACAGTGGAATCCTGGCTCTGGGTTTCTCCTCTAACCTAGAGGTCATTACTATTAGACCCAGGGACCCAGGGCCGCAGGTCCCTGGGCTCCCAGCTGCCCTGGCGGAGTGGCACTGCCACTGCAGTGCTTCTACCTCTCTTCCCATACCAACTTCATGAGTGTGGGAAGCATCTGTGTGTGGACTTCCATTGTCCCTTTTTCGAGTGATCCTTAGTATTTTTAATTTTACAAATGATCCTTGGGTTAATAAATCTGAAGTTCCCTTTCCTACTCAACACTATTGGCAAGCAACTGAACAGTCCAAGGAGAAGGAAGGAAATTATACTCAGTGGCCCATGAATGAAGAAGAGAAGCTTGCACTCTAATGGTGTCTTCTCTCCAGCAGATGTGAGGTGTAGAGTTTCATTAGGAATGGCTATGAGGGATGTGGTACATGCTGTCATCAGACCTGCTCATGGAATAGGATGAGTTCCAGAAACTGGGATGCTGTCTCTTTTCTTCCCTAATTTGGGTATAGTCAGACCTGTCTTGGCATAGCTGGTGTGTTTTCATCATTATAATGCAACTGTCTCAAGCCCAGCGTGGTCAGGAATGTCAGCATGGCATCCCAACCACATTGAGCTGGCCTGGAGTTTCCTTGGCAAGTATGTGGTGACTCATTGGTCAGCAGCTTGGAGCATGTGATTATCAGCATATAGGATTTAACTCTTGCAGGCAAGTAGGATAGTTGACAGGACAACAGGTTACCAGTAACTTTGGATTTAGTGTTGGTTTTGAAATAACATAGTTCCCTACATTTATAATTTTCTTTTTTTTTTAAGTGTATTTCAGTGGATTCCAAGGAAAATAGCTCAGGAAAAGGGCATGCATTCTGTCTATGGACTTTCACTTTTAGCAGTTTCTCGACTTCTTTTCTTGTAGTGGACTCAAAATAAGGCAGAGGCTCTTAAGATATTAACGTTATGCTGAAATGGTTGTCAAGATGTCATCAATCAGTGGTGTGAGGGACTTCTTATGTTGAATTCAAGCAGAAATTATGAATTGGTAAAGTGCAGCCCTCTTGATGTTAGAGCCTATGAGCTTTGAATGCCAGTGGCTCCTGGCCTTTAGTGCTACAGCCACAAGGTTTGAGGGCCAGCACCTCTTAGTCTTTAGTGTTATATCTCTTAGTGTTACAGCTTTTGTCAGCTGCAGCTGCCTCTATTATGTCCTCAGCAGCCAGAGCTCATGGTCCCCTCACAGCTCTCTGGAGCTCTGCAGCCGCTTATGCTGCCTTTCTGGGGGTCTTGTACAGGTCCCACAGGTCTGTGAAGGTCTCCATGGGCCACTGCGGCTCTTGGCTCTTTGCTGCTCTGGAGCTCCTTTTGAGGACTAAGCCAAGTAGCATGAGGGACTGCTGCTCCTATGGAGGAGGGGCTATGTTTGCACAGTCTCCTGCATTTTGTGGACCTATTTGGGAATGATTAAAGCCATGGCAGAGGGGGCAGGGTCACCTGAGTTTCAGAGTAATCACCTGCAGTGGCTGCTGGGCAGAGTCATCTTAGATAAGTTCCCATCTGAAGTGTGCTGTGGCCAAGGCAGATAACTGCCAGACAATGGAGCTTTAGGACACCACAGCCATGGTGACAGTGCAGGGGACTGCACAGAAACTACTGCTTGATTGATAGCAGCTGCGCTTCCTTCAAAAATGGTCAGAGTGGAAGTCATGAGTACCACAGCTTCCAAGGAGGCTCCAGGAGGGAAGTAGCGTCGATCATGGCTCCTTGAGGTTTGGAGACTGGGGGATGACAGCAGGGGCCAAGCCTGTCTCATCCCACTTCTCAGAGCCTGCAGCACCTGTCCCAGCAGCAGGAGGGTGTCACTGTTAGCTCTGGCTTCCTTCAGGTCTGCTGAGGGACATGGTCTACAGGATGGCTGAGGCGGTTACCACAGAGATCAGGGGAAGACCTTGGGGCCACGTGTCCCAGGTCACCCTTAGCGAGAGGGACCAAAGGCTGTCTGTGGGAACACAGTGCCTCTGCTCCAGAGGAAAAGAGAAGATTTGCCTCTGTTCATGTTTCAAAATTATTAAAAAAGGAACTGGGGATTTAGCTCAGTGGCACAGCGCCTGCCTGGCAAGTGCAAGGTCATGAGTTCAATTCCAGGTATCAGGGAAAAAAAAAAAAAAAGAGAGAGGAAAAAAAAATATTACAAAACACATTTAACATATGCTTC